AGCTGGAACCTGGCATGTAATGTGGACCCAGATAGAGAAAGAAATGCCCATGCTACACAGAATTGTTTTGTGATTGCAGCTGTAGGAAACTTCTGAAATCCCTTTCCCACCACACCATCCCCAAACAGTTTCCCCTCATACTTCACTGTGCCTGCTCTCTATCTTATTTACATGGTTTATCACGTGGCAATGTATTTAAAATTAACTGTCTATGATTATTATTTATTCAATTGCTACCCAATCTTCCCATTTTCTTGATTTATAAAAATATAATTACTCTCTTTGTGGAAAATAATTATATATTCATTCATTCATACATTTAAATTTCTCCAGCAATATTGAGGAAATAGCTACTGTGTGCAAGACTCTGGGATAGGCAGCAAACAGGATAAGGAAGGTACCTGTCCTTATGAGTTTTACTTTCTAGAAAGAAGACAGCCAATGAATGAGATAATTTCAGCTAGTAATAAATGCAATAAAGAAAATAAAGTGTGGTGAAAATTGGTTGAGGAGAGGCAGGAAACGTTAGAGAACTGAGAAGTAAATAAGAAGGGGCCATTCAGCCAAATAAATATTATGCCTAAAACATCAATTAAAAAATTCCTAAGTGTTTGGCATATTTGTGGATTCTGGTGTGGTTGAAACAAAGTGAAGGAAGACCACAGAGGATGATAATATTGGAAAGGTCAATAGGTGCCAGATAATATAGGGATTTGAAAGCAATGGTAATACATTGTGATTTTATTGCGGATGTGATGGGAAGCCATTGGATGACTATGGGAAAGTCAAAGGAAAGAAGCTATTTAAAAACCATAAAGCAAAACCCTCGGGGGCCGTAGGAAGATTTTGGGGAAAATCTATTTGAATTTAAAAATTTATGGGTATTTTTCATTGCAATAAGGTTTTGGTAGCAAAGGTAAATTGTGGTGATTGAGTAAATCACTATTCCAATGTTGTGTTATTGTACTGTTGTTGGTTGATAGATGTTGTCAGTGTAGTTTCAATGACAGCAGTAGTTTCAGAGGATGCTTTGCAAATCAGTCTTTTGAATCTTATTGGGAGTGTCACGATCTTCTACTTCTGTAATAAGCAAACCCAAAATTCATACCACCTCTTCCCCACCCCAGCGGTAGTTATAGTCTGTGAATATGTAGTTGTCATTGGAGCTCTGACTCCTTTGGGTTAGATGGTGCAATGTGACCAGACCAGTCAGTTGTGAACTAAAATGACTTGTGCCATTTTTGGCTGAAGTATTTAATTACCAATTACATCACTGTGTTTAAGATGTTTATTTAAAAAATTCTTGTGTTATTTTCTTTAGGAAAATATAAACACTTCTAATCAATTATCACAGACTTCAGGTGAAAGATAAATTAACCAAAGATTCAAGGTAGTTTAAGAGGCATCAATATTTAATGTAATTTTACAAAATGAGTTGAAGTTGTACATTCCATATGTATTCCAATATGAAAGTAGTACTGTCCATCCATCGAAGGTGATCTTTCTGAAATGGAAAATAGATATTTGAGGGTATATTGTACAAACTGGCAAGAATAATTTAAAATAATCAGCATGTTTATTTAAAAACTCAAGCAACCCAGATGCTATCCTGAAATTAATTTATCAAGCTAGTATTACAAAAATTCTAAAAACAGATGAGTTAAAGAAATCCTGTAGGAAAATGCCATATGGTGTCCTAAAATATGAAAGGTACCATATTTCTACAAAGCTTTCTATAAATCTAATATTGGGTGTATTGTGTATGACTAATAACAATTCTGCAATGCAAATTAAGATCAAGAAAATAATGACTACATGGACTTTTAAATTTGTTCAGTCTCACTATTCATTTATGAATAATTTATACATATCTCTGTGACTTCTTTTCCCAAATACACCATGAAGTGAATTTGTCATTAGTATTTCCAATGACACATTAGGCCAACATATTTATAAAGCTATTCTCTTTAAGATAGGTACACTCTACTATGGACTAAACCAGGGGTCCTCAAACTATGGCCCGCGGGCCACATGCACATACAAATATTGTATTTGTTCCCGTTTTGATTTTTACTTCAAAATAAGATATGTGCAGTGTGGTAAACACATAATGCAATAAAAATTATTAAATGATTTAATAATTTACCTATAGGATAATGGAATAATCATTTTGGATAGAAATTTGGGACTTATTAAAGATATACTATTATAATCAATATTTTTATGACAATAATGTTCAACAGAGTATTAAAAATTAGAGAAAAAAATTTAGACCAAAATTAACAAAAACTCATAATTAAACATTCTGTGTGTTTCACATTGCTACATCAATTAAAAAAAGAGGCCCGAAAGGGTTGGAGAAACTACCATGTGACAGCATTGAATGATGAAAGCTGACTAGATACCAGAACTCAGTTTCATGCAGGCCTTGCCACTTTCCAGTAAAGTAACTTAGAAGTTCACTTTGTACCTCTGGGACACAGAAAGTTTTCAGATACTGTGTTTGGAAAGATGGGTTTTTCAATTAAGATTCCAATAAAACAGCTTCTCTAGGCTGGTGTTTAAAGATGGAATAGGTGACTTGTATGTGTGTGTGTGTGTGTGTGTGTGTGTGTGTGTCAAAAGGGGATAAGTAAATACACAAAAGACTGGCAATATCAAGGCAATTTAGAAGAGAGGGAAGGAGGGAAGGCAGGTAGAGTATGTTTGGTTAGAGTAGCAGCAATCTATAAAGGTTGGGAAAAGTAGGTTGAGGGAAGGCCTTGAACAACAGGACACTAAGTGTGAACTTTGTTATGAAGGAAGTAGAGAGCCTATAATGTTATTAAATGGGAGATGGATCAATACATTTGATGTTATATAGGAAGAGTTAAGAGTCAAAACAGACCATTATTCAACTTGAATCACTGAGCTAAATGATTTAGGACCTACAATAACTGCAGAATTTAGTGCTTGGATAAATTGGAATAGTAGAATAAAGGAATAATCTGGAGGAGGATCTCAAAATTAAAATAAATTCTGGTGATAACACTGAAGTGCAGAGATGGGAAGATTCTATTTTGAAGAGAGCTGAAAGTGTCAGGAATAGTTATTGAGAGCAATGTTATAGGGAATCAATAATCGTAAAACAGTAATATTGCTGAACAACACTGGGAGCTTATATGAAGTGAAAAACGTAATTTTATAGGGGCTGAGTCTACATAGTTCCATTAGATTCTTTATGCTCTATGCTTGCAACATAGTTGACTGAGTTGACAAGATGGCATGATAGGTATCAAGGAAGTCATGGATTTCAGATAGGGATTAAATTAGGTTTAGCTGGTGAGTGTATAAGTTAAGTGAAGTCCACGTTAAACTCAGGAGAGGACTCAATATATGTGAGAAGACACCTATTGTAGGAGATTAAAGCTTTTGTCAAAGATTTAATCTCTCCAATTATAGATTGAAATACACATGGCAGAGCTTCCAGAACATAAGTTAGGAGTTCTACAGGTGCAAATGGGGCAATTGATAGTTCAAAAACTCCTCTATTCAACCTAAAATCTTTGGCCCAGCAAGCACACCCAAAATCTTATTGGGTGCATAAGCCCATTCTTTAGTTTCTTATACTCCATGTAGCCAGAATCCAGCCTATATGAATCATCTTTGCTACTTGCATTTACTTTTTAATATTTAGGTCAACGCTTCTTATGAGAACAACTGTGTGTGTGTGTGTGTGTGTGTGTGTGTGTGTGTGTGTGTGTGCTGCAAAGTATAGGGTGGAGTAGAAGGTGAGATGGAGTCATGAAAACATGCTGAGACTTGTAGAGCATTGTCTTGTTAAAGTTCTGTATTTCTTCTGTAGTCACAATTTTTGTTTTGATGTTCAAATGCAGTCATGCTTAAGTACTTTTTCCTGTTTTTTATTCTTTCACCAGAAGTTGTTTCAAGTCATTGCTACTTTCTGCCAGTAAGATTATTCCATCTGCATTAACTTAAGTTATTGATATTTCTTCATTGATTTCACTCCTCCTTCCTCTGAATCTATCTCAGTTTTTAGTATATGTTCTGCATAGAGATCAAACAAATAGGGAGACAAAATGTACCCTTGTCCGACACCTTTGCCTATAGGAAACCATTCTGTTTCCATATTATGTCCTCACAGTAGCTTCTTGTCCACAATATGCTAGCCATCAAGACAAACAAGAGCTGAGGCAAGCCTGTTTTGTTTTGTTTGTTTGTTTTTATAACAACCCATAGCTTTTCATGATTGATGCAGTTAAAGGCCTTACTGTAGTTTATAAAACATAGCTAACTTTCTTCTGAAATTCTTTGGAGCTCTCCAGTATCCAAAGAATGCTCACAATTAGACTTCAAGTGCTTCTTATTTTTCTGAATACAGCTTGAACACTTGGTATTTCTGCACCACTTTATCTGAGTGTGAAATTACAGATATGGTCCTACCGCACTCCTTGGCATCTTCTTCAGTGAAGATTGGGAAGTTTTCTGAACATTTACAGTCTATAGGCCATTGATTTGTTTTCCATATTTGTTGACATATTCTTGTTACTTTTGTTTTGTTGTTCAAATGCAGTCATGCTTAAGTACTTTTTTCTGTTTTTTATTCTTTCACCGGAAGTTGTTTCAAATCATTGCTACTTTCTGCCAGTAAGATGGTGTCGTCTGCACATCTTAAGTTATTCATAGTACTTCTACCAATTTTCACTCCTGCCCATGACTGAAGACACTGAAATTGTTAAAGATTTTGCTTACCTTGGTTCAGTCATCAATTCAAATTGAGACTGCAGCCAAGAAATCCAGAGAAGGCTGAGAATTGGAAGGGAAGCAATGGAAGAATTGGAAAGAGCGTCAAGAGCAAAGATACGTCATTAAAGACCAAGGCTAAGATCATCCACACCCTTGCATTCCCAATGACTATATACAAATGAAAAAGTTAGAAAGTGAAGACGGTTGACAGGAAAAAATTGATTCATTGGAAATATGTTATTGAAGGAGAGCCCTACAGATACCCTGGACTGACAGAAGATGAGCAATGAGTCCTAGAGCAAATTAAGCTTGACTCATTGACAGAGCTAAAAATGACAAAACTGCAGCTGCCCCACTCTGGGCACATCCTGGGAAGACAGGGTTGTTCAGCTCTTGTAGCTTGAACTATCTTGCCCACTTACCCCTTCTACTACAGAAGAAATGGACAACTTTAGCATTGACAAAGAAGACACTGAAATTGTTAAAGATTTTGCTTACCTTGGTTCAGTCATCAATTCAAATTGAGACTGCAGCCAAGAAATCCAGAGAAGGCTGAGAATGGGAAGGGAAGCAATGGAAGAATTGGAAAGAGCATCAAGAGCAAAGATACATCATTAAAGACCAAGGCTAAGATCATCCACACCCTTGCATTCCCAATGACTATATACAAATGAAAAAGTTAGAAAGTGAAGACGGTTGACAGGAAAAAATTGATTCATTCGAAATATGGTATTGAAGGAGAGCCCTACAGATACCCTGGACTGACAGAAGATGAGCAATGAGTCCTAGAGCAAATTAAGCTTGACTCATTGACAGAGCTAAAAATGACAAAACTGCAGCTGCCCCACTCTGGGCACATCCTGGGAAGACAGGGTTCTTTGGAAAAGACAGTAATTCTGGGGAAAAAGAAGGCAGAAAAAAAAGAGGAGACCACATATAAGATGGATTGACTCCATAAAGGCCATAGGAATGAGTCTTTAGGAGCTGAGTGGGGTTGTTGAGGACAGCACGTTGTGGACATCACTCATTCATAGGGTTGCCAGGAGCTGGAACCCACTCAATGGCATGTAATGTGGACCCTGATAGAGATAGAAATGCCCATGCTACACAGAATTGTTTTGTGATTGCAGCTGTAGGAAACTTCTGAAATCCCTTTCCCACCACACCATCCCCAAACAGTTTCCCCTCATACTTCACTGTGCGCCTGGACTGACAGAAGGTGAGCAAGTGAGTCCTAGGGCAAATTAAGCTTGAATCATTGACAGAGCTAAAAATGACAAAACGGCAGCTGCCCCACTCTGGGCACATCCTGGGAAGACATGGTTCTTTGGAAAAGACAGTAATGCTGGGGAAAAAGAAGGCAGGAAAAAAAAAAGAGGAGGACCACATATAAGATGGATTGACTCTATAAAAGCCATAGGAATGAGTCTTTAGGAGCAGAGTGGGCTGTTGAGGACAGCACATTGTGGACATCACTCATTCATAGGGGTGCCAGGAGCTGGAACCCACTCAATGGCATATAACATGGACACTGATAGAGATAGAAATGCCCATGCTATAGGAATTGTTTTGTGACTGCAGCTGTAGGAAACTTCTGAAATCCCTTTCCCACCACTCCATCCCCAAATAGTTTCCTGAAGTGCAAACAAGGATCCCGGAATGCTGGTGAACCTTGAACCCATGGCAAGGGCCAAAGTTATGCACCAATTGTCTAGTCCAGACAATGGGGGCTTAAGCTATTTCCTCTTCAAATAGTCTCAGAGTAAATCCTTCTAATATTTACTGACCTTTAAGATGGTCTGTCTGTTACTGCAATTAGAGCTAGATGTGTATCCAAAGTTGAATAAAAGGTTGGCGAGGCTTGGGCACCAGTGGAAGTCCTTCCCCTTGAGTTGGGCTTGCCCGCCTGGCCCCCAATATTTCCAAATTATTTCTTGTCTCGTCTCTTTCAATTGTGCGCGGCCCCTCTTCCAGATCCTGAACCCTAAGCCACACGGGACGTGGGAGAACATTCACAATAGTGTGGGCAGCCTCAAGGGATAGATCAAGATTGGTCGAAGTCTTTCCCGACAATCCTGTTTCCTGCTTTTCCAGCCTCTTGTGGCTCTGGAAAAACATTTGCTTTCCTGATCAAAGGGACCAGATTTGTTTGGGGGGCACTGCCCTTCTGCCTTTTGTCTTTCTGCCTCCTGTCTTGAATGGGGATGTGATGACTGGAGCTGAAACAGCTATTACGTGGTAGGAAGAGTCAAAAATAATGGAAAGCTAACAGAATCCTGGACGTACCAGTGCCTACCTCCTGACTGCCTACTAATGAGAACATTAAGCCTTATCTTGTTTAAACCACTATTAGCCTCTCAGTAACTTACAGCTGGATGCATTCATAACCTATTTACCCTGTTAAATCTTATTTCTAGAAAAGAACCAACATTCAAGTAATGAAATATGTGCCTTCTGCCCCAATACATTTCCCAAAGGTGAAAGCTGAAATGAAGGAATAGGGACAACAATAATTCCCATTCTAACACATGTAAAAGAGAGGTGGGTATTCAGCAAATATGCATTAAAGACACAGAACATATTCATCAAAAACAATTTTCAACTCAGATCTGTGTTTGAAATTCTATCATAGATTAGCCGTGTAACTTTAAGCATATGATTTTTATCACTCCAGCCTCAGTTTTCTTATCATTAAAATATAAATTATGTTAGTACCCTATTGCACTTATTGTAAAATTTAATAAGACTATGCATGAAGTCATTAGTACAATTCCTGGCACAGATCAATGCTCTATATTTGGTAGCCCTCACTACTAAGGAGCAGGTATATTACACCAGGGGCCCTGGGCATAAGGACGATGGAGTTTAGAGTTGCAGATGGTGTTAAACACACAAGTCAATCAGTTATTTATGGCAGCAGGACAAGGCCACAGCATGCGCCTGTGTGCCCAGGGTGTGGGAGAGAATGCCAAAGCCCCACTTCCAGGAGCTCCTTTCCCAAATACACCATGAAGTGAATTTGTCATTAGTATTTCCAATGACACATTAGGCCAACATATTTATAAAGCTATTCTCTTTAAGATAGGTACACTCTACTATGGACTAAACCAGGGGTCCTCAAACTATGGCCCGCGGAGCTATTCTCTTTAAGATGGGTACACTCTACTATGGACTAAACTGTAAGTAGAAAAGTTTCTTTAATATGTCTTTTCTGAGGTATAAATTTGCACTTATTTTCATTTAATTAGGTTTTCTTTTATGATTTTCCTTGATACCAACATGTTCTACAAGATATCTATTTGAGACTAAGGACATGTTTTATAGTGATATAAATGAACAGAAATTGACAAACATGATCTGGGGTCATTAATTTCATGTATTAAGTAACAGAGCAAGTCAATAGTCCCCTAAGGACTTAAAAAATGAGTATTACAACATGCTTAACGTTTTGGCCAGTAGCTGAGATATAATAGAAAAATAACTGTCTTAGTGTTTTCTTAATGGCTGCTGGCTTATACTCTGAGGATTTTGGCTTTACAACTGTAAAACATTTACCATTATGCAATGTACCATTACAGCTTCGCACAGACTGACAGATGACTGCGGTCACATGGTGACAGTGAACTTGGTACAGTCCTGATGCCACCATCTAACTCATTTGGAGAAATGAAGACAGTAGGCTCTTGAAAAAGCACTTAAATGAGCAGTCCTGGAGGTTGGATAATTTGTAACAGATGCTCCATATAATGGATGGATTATAGGGAGAGCGGCTGTAATGCAGACTATCTCGTTCATTGGGTTATGATCGATGCTACTTATTAGGTTGACTTAACATTCAGTAAGCTGAGATTGTCAGACAAATATGTGAGCTTTGAGGTACTGGTACATATAGATCAGGTGATAAAAAGTCTTTGAAACAGTGATTAAGTATTTCAAATGAAGTTTACTAATAACAGTTGTATTTCTTGAGTTGGCACAAAAGAAGCAGTTATATGAACCAATAACCTCCTGAACAAAACATGTAATTCAAACGGACTTGTTTCATGCCACAGTTTTCTGTGATTAATAAACACTTAAATTAACCAAATCAGAAGGCTGACAAAGAAGAAAGCTGGCGTTTTGATATAATTAACTTGTGTGATTTATAAAAAAATTCCCTTTGCTTGAAATTTTATACTTTTGACCTAGAACATTTTAAAATCTAAGACATAATTCTAGAGGAACTTGAAAACCATTCATACTATTTAGTTTCAATTACAAAATCAAAATATTTATTTCACAAGTACTTTCAAATCCTTTTGGGTCCTTGGTGAGTTCTTAAAGCCTTTCTACTCTTTAATTTTTGCCTGACTTATTACAGGTATGGCAAAGTCCTATGTAAGCATTCATTGAATGCATATTTATGTGTTAAAAATAATGAATATTATGATGTAAATCAACTAAATATATATTTGTTTTTCATGTGATATTAAGCTGGTGACTATTAGACATGTAGTTAGTGATGATTATCATGGATATGAAAGCAGTACTCTTAGGACTCTGACCTCTCTATTACAGCATCATCTACACATCTTTTTGAGAATAAAATATAAATTGTGTAATTAACCCTTTTTACTCAGTCTTATCCCTTTGGTGAACTTGAAGCTCTTCAGTGTTATGTCACATATGGGAAATTCCCTTGCACACTAAGTTAGTTCTTGCTCAAGGACAGATGCCTTTACAATGGAATGCTCAGTGCATAGAAATACATGCTATTATCAGCAATCTGCTTCAGGAAAGTGATGCAAGATTTCATTGGGTCAGTGAACTGACTATACTGAGATGGCCGTGATAGTGGTTTCATAGTTTATTTATCCCGATGATGGCACACTAGCGGGGAGCACAATGATGCCTATCAACAGGCCAATTTGACTCGGAGAAAGGAGAGGCTGTCATAATGCTCCCAATAATTTTAGAGTGTATTGTCAAATTGTAATTGAACAAGATGAACAAAATAATCAGAAAATTATCGGCTATTTTAGTCAGTGAGTAATAAGATACAATCACCTTCTGAATAAATGTAGACCATTTTCCTGCCCTTACATCCCATGAAGAACACTGATGCATCTCCTTAATCTGAAAGATCAGGGAAACAAAAAGCCTTCTTCTACTTAAGAGTATCAACAGCAATATTTACCATTTACTGACAACCCTTCTTCCATTTGAAATCTCCTTTCATTCTCTTATTCAATCTGCAAATTACATATTTTTATCCCCATTTAAAAAACGAAGTATCCAGATGAGGTAATATGACTTGCCTATGGTTATTCAGCTGGTTTCAGAGTGAGATTCAAATTCCAGCCTCGGTTATCTTTATAATGCTACCCTGTATGGACTGGGTGAAATGGTTACTGCCGCAGCCATTTTAACAATGTGGGTGATTTTTAAATTGGGCTTGAGAATAAACTAACATTTACTGAGCACCAGCTATAAACTAGTTCCGATGCTAAGAGCTCTGGTTCCCAAAGACCTTCCTTTTCCATGTGCAGCACTAACACAGCCGACCTTTCACAATGTTTTTCATGTTATTTTAATTTTCTCAGTGTAATAAATAACCTTGCAGCTGTCACCTTTATAGCTCAGCCTTTCAATGCCTGCCTCCTGTGAATCTTGTACAGGATATTTTCTATTTTTAATAAACTGTTTTTATAAAGCAAAGAACTATTTTTTTCCCATTCACCCTTACTTTTTAGGGACCTCAGCAACGATTCACAAGTTTCCAAATGTAAAATCTACTGATATATTCAATCAATAACATAGGGTAGAGACACATGTGCTCATGATTGCCAATCTTTACATTTAATGGGTCAAATTAGATTTTCACTATATATACACCATGCGATAAGTTCTATATACTTTACTTTTTTGGAGAAAAAAAGAGATTTAAATCATCAATCTGAGAGATTTTTTTCCCCACCAAGAATAAGTCACTTTTTCTTCTTTTCTTGGCATTAACAGACATCATCTGGTATTCAGTATTTTCCCTACTCTTTCACCCCAGATGCTCCAACTCATTAGAGAGCTAATTGCCTTTGTAATTCTAAATTAAGGAGTACTTAGTGAAACGGAGACATTACCTTTGCCAGGTGTTTGGGAGGACAAAATTCAATCTGCCATAAAAGTCAGTAAAGTTTCTTCCAATCAATGCTAGTTCTCTCACTGTTCAGTCTGCATGGATTTTGTGTTGTTCGATGAAGAATCAGTCAGACACCAGGATACATGTTGCTTGGTGTTACACAAAAGCACGAAAATAATTAAGAATTGAGTATTTTGGAATATAGGTTGAAATGAAACAAGATTTTGGGATAGAGACTAAAGTGAACTTACCAATTAATTTTCCATCATCTTCCTTGAAGATGTGATCAATCATTGGGTTGACTTTCAGCAAAACTTTTGCTTAGAACTTGGGTTCTTTGTGACTTCATTTGGGTTATCAAAAAAGGGCCATGTAGTACATGTGTACTATAGAAGGCTGTATTCTAGGCTCCACACGAAAACAAATTACTAAAAGACACGCTAAAACAGTCTAGGTAGCAGTCACAGAAAACAGAATATATTCAGGATTTTTTAAAAAGGTCAGGTTTTAGAAAGGATTGGTGGTGGTTTTCGGCTGTGTCTATATAAAACATAAGAAAAGTGAACAAGGAGGGTGATTTTTCCAAACAGTTCAAACAGACAAATGAACAGACAAAGTGCATTTTCAATATTCTGCCTAAGCAATATTGGTGAGTTTAAGGACATCCTTCTGAACATCAAAGACCTTTTTTTTTTTTTTTTTTGGTTTGTTTTTGTTATTGTTTTGCTTTCATGACTCTTGGCATAATCCACCCATAAGCAGATAAGAAACAACAAATTATCAAAGATGTGAAAGAACAGCAGGAGCAAATGGAAAGGAGGTGATTCACTTTTTAAAGCAATTGGGAGTTTTGTCCTTGTCTCATAATTGTAGCAACTGGAAGAAAAGTTTAAAATGAGAGAAAGAGAAGAGATCATGGAGGAAGAGGTCTATTATTTGTTGATGCTTAGTATTCCTGGCGGCATTTTGTTTAGAGTGATTCCTTTAGATCAAAACCTATTGTCTGGATAAAAAGTGCCACAAGATGTTCTGAGAAAACAGACATTAGACTTTGATATTTTATATAATTGGCAAAACAGAGGGGCCAGAAGAAGTTCAGAGTTGGCAGTAAGGTTAGTGGTCATTTAGGACAAGGTAGAAGATAGAAAGTGGTGATCAATAATGTTGAGTCTCTTGGTCATGGGGTCAAAGATTAGGGACTTTGAAAGATTAAGAACATGAAGCCTATCCTTAGAGGCTGATGGGAGTGAAAGAGTGCTGCATTTACAAGCTGATATAGAGTATCTTCTGTTCTCTTACGTGGCTTAGCAAATGATTACATGTTCTTCAATCCAGCCCATATATCATCTCCTTGATAAAATTGTCTAACTCCTAGGCTGTCCTTATCACTCCATTCCCTTGTTCCTTCTTTAAAATATATATTTTATTGATTTCAGAGAGGAAGGAAGAGGGAGCGGGAGATAGAAATATCAATTATGAGAAAAAAATCATCAATTGGCTGCCTCCTGCATGCCCTCCACTAGGAATTAAGACCACAATCCGGGCATGTACCCTGACCAGGAATTGAATGGTGAGCTCCTGGTTCATGGATTGATGCTCAACCACTGAACCATGCTGGCTTGACTCCCTTCTTTCTTATAAGATTCTTTCTTCTGTCACTCACTCCTTCCCTCCACCCCTTCCTTCCTTTCTCTTTGTCTTCCCTCTCCTTTCCTTTGTTTCTCTTTCCTCCCTCCCTGCTCTCACAGTATTTATTAGCAGTTGTAAGGAACTATATCAGGTCAGGAACTAAATAGGTTCTGGAGATACAATAATGAATAAAATGGGAACAATTTGACAACTGATGGAAGGCAGTATAGTAATTTAAAATGCTCATTTGGAAATCAATTTGCCTAGACTCTATTCACTTCTTGCACTTACTAGGGTGACATTTGACAATTCCTAAACCTCCTAAGTCTTGGATTACTTATCTTCATGTTGGAACTAAAAATAGTACTCCTCTCATATTGTTTTCATGTGATATGCTAAACGGACACAGTGAAATCATTCATATGAAGCCTTTAGCACAGTGCTTGGCATACAGAAAGAAATTAAATGTTTTTATTATTGATAATGGAGTTTACGATCAGAAAGCAAAATGTGCTGCTCATATGTCTGTAACAGCACTCCTGGTATTATATTTTAAAAAAAAGGTATGCTTATGTCAAGGACATAAGTTTTTCATGGTTAGCTGGTTCTTAGCACAGTTCCTGTCAGATATTATGTGCTCTATAAATCTTTGGTGAATAAATATTGAATGGAATGAATGAAAGCGAGAAAGGTTCGAGTTAAACAACCTGCCCAAAGTCACATAACTAGTAAGAGCTTGTGGAGATGTGAGATAGTTTATGTACCTCCAAAGCCCATGCTTTTCTTAAGCTACTGCACCACCTGTCATACATTATTGCTTGCCTTCCTCCACCTACAGTAATTTGTTATTATATCCATCATTCCACTGAATTTGTCCTTGTCAAGGTCATCAATTGCTGTCAAGGTACTCAATCCAATAGTATATATTGTTTCTCATTTTACTTGTATTTGACACTCTTGCCTATTTGCTCCTTTCTGAAATTCTCTTTTTTATTTGTCCTTATTACTGATTTCCTTGGCTTTCCTCCTAATTACTCTCTCTCTCTCATTATCACTCTCTCTCTTTCTGGCAGGTATTTCCTAATCTCCTTTGTAGCTTCCTCCTCCTTTCCAACTTTAGTGTTTCTGGAAATTCCATCCTGAGCCCTTTCCCCATCTCATTCTTCACATACTATCTCTGTCATTTCATTTCTATCTGATCATGCTCAAATCCACATCTGAATTTCAATGTTTCTCTCCTGAGCTCCATAGCCAAAATTCTATTTGTTTATTTGATATTTCTCTCTGGAGAGCCCTATCTTAAATAAATGCTCTTCCTTTAGTCCTAATCTATTTTTCTCCTTAGGGTGACCACATAATTTGTCATCTAAACCAGGACTATTTGGAAAGTAAAGGGGCCTCATTAATAATTACTCTGGCATTCCAAGGTCTAACCAAAATTCATGGTCTCGTTCCCATTGAACACACAATTGAGCATTACAACGGGCATTCATCTTTGCCCCCTATTTCTCATTTTTCATAGCCAAGTTCTGTAGATTCTCCTTCCTCCTATTTTTTTATGTACACTCATCTGAATCTCCATTATCATTGCCTTTTTTCAAAACCTTCTCATTACTTGCTAGGATTACTGCAAAACCCTGCGAATTGGTCTACTAGCAGGCCACTGTGTTTCACTCTCCACTGAAACACCCTCTACAGTTTTAAGAATGATCTAATCATGTCCCTTTCCTGCTTTGGCCCTTTGATGAATACCCATAACTTCTAGCACAAAAGTTAAGCGCTTTTCCATGGCATCAGAAGGCACTTATTCCCAATCCTATCTCACCATGCCTTCCTCTTGCACACTGGACCTGTCCTCACCTACCGAAGAATAGGCAATTACTGAACAATGACTAGATCAGCTTTTAAAACATAACCACACACACGAAGACCTTGTCTCAACAAATTTACATAAATGTGAAGGAGTAGTAAATGTCACTTTTTATATGAGAATGGATACATAAGAAAACTAGGGTAAGTTTGTGTGACACAGTACATAGTTAAAGGTGATCACCTTACAATTTGTGACTAAAAAATATGTATGATATATAAAACCCAGGTGACTAGTATTTTTCTCATAATGTAAGAGTGAAGTCAGAGTCTTTGTTTCAAAATAGCAAAATGCTCACATCAAAGAACCCAAAATACGCAAGTCAGTTAACTGAAATATTTGTGTCTAAAAGAGAACATAGCTTCTAGCAGTTGTTGAGCAAAGGAAACACAAGAAACTTCGTCTTCATCAATTGGTTGTCTGTACACATTATTTGTTTTTTACTTGCGCCTCTACCTGCCATCTATCTGTCCTCTCCAATCGTTTCAGCCAATCTGGCAGCTTCAGTCAACTGTCATTCAAGGAGCCAAACTAAATGTGGTGAAGAGAATTCACACATAAACTCATGACTGATCAAAAACCAATACTTTTTAGTCAGCTGTAAGAAAGTTCCATAGGTTAGCAAGCAACTATATGAGAAGCATAAGAGAAAAGGAACTGCTATTTAGTGTCTAAAATAAATTGTATAGGTGCCAATTGAATTAACCTTATAAGCTAGAAAAGCACGTGATTGGTATAAGTTAATTTAAATAATTTTATCTAATACTAGTGACACCGGTTACCTAAAATTTCTATAATGATGCAAGGAAGTCCAGTAAGACATTGTTTAAATAAGATTTGATTTTCTTTAAGAAGGGAGATATTTTGTATCTGCATTTTAGTGTGTGTGTTTTTTTAAGTATTGTAAAAACAGATATATTAACTAAAAAAATGTTATTCTGCTCCAAAGCATAGATTGTTTTGCAAATTCACTTACTATTAATATTAACTAAGATTAAAATTACACTGAAAACATTTGTCATTCTCCACTGATCCCTAAATAACACATACTGGCAAACCCAGCTTTACGTTTTGTGACTACGGATCCTTTTTCACTAGAGACTGAGTACAGGACATTACGTCATCATATGAAGCTTGTGCAAACTCTCAAGTATAAAGTTAGTGCATATTAGATCAAAGGTGGGAAAGGAAAACTAGGCAAAAATCTATCTTCCAAAAGATACTTGTCTTATATATTTGTGCATTTTAAAGGTTGGAAACTTTCTGAAGTGGTGAGATGCTAAAGATATATTTATATTAATTTGGAATCTACATGAGTCACAAGACTAGTGCTGTGAGAGATGTAAAGATGGAGCCATTCATACTGCTTTCACTCTCAAATCAACCCATGTTAGAAATATGTTCAAGGTTTCTAATGAGCTTGAGTTTCCCTTTCTGCTTGTTTGGGAAAGTGACAGTACTTGCCTCCTTCAAGGGCAAAAGGCAGAGAATTCTCAAAATTTTCTCCTTCCTCTCTTGCTAGTGAAAATTACTAAAAATTACAGCTTACAATCTGGAGTGTATTTAATCAAAGATTCTAAAGTGGTTTCCATCAGGTGGTAATTGGTATCTTTAGGTTGTTTTCAGCTATTTGCAAACAAAACAAAACATAAACATTTCACAACTAGCTGAAATGTAAAGCCTCTTTGCTGTTGGCTGGAATTAAATTATCTAGTTTGGTAACACCAGCTATCTCATGATGATAAGAGCTTTTGGTGAGAATTGAAATAGAATTGTTCAGCACAATAAAAAAAAAGACCTTTCAAAACATAAGGATCATGGGGTAGAATAATAAAAAAGATCCTTTATGTAAAAAGTTGGCAAAACCTTTGAGAAGGCTCTGATATGTTAATTTTATAGATGAGTAAACTGAGATTTAGACAACTTTGCTCTTATTGATCCCATCCTTTTACTAACATCCTTTCATTCTTGGATATTAAGACACAGTTTAATAGTGATGCAGGGCTGGTAGAGGGCACAACAGTAGAAAGTCCCCATACTTGGATTGATGCTCTGCTGTCGCCGCCTTGAAATTCTTATCAAGTTTTGAAGGAGGGCTCTGCTTTTTCATTTTGCATCAGGCCTCACAAATTATGTAGCTGGCCCTGTAGCTATGCTGATGTTTTTCTTATATTTCATTATTTCTGCCTCAAGACAAAGTTATCTAGGAGCTTAACCTTTGGTGTTTCTCACCCCTTTTCCCAAGGTGTCTCTCACACCAGTGACTAGTGGATACAGAGCCACAAGGAGGGCTCAGACCGTGGTCTGTTCCTCTT